GCCTTAGCCGGTTGAGCTATAGGCGCCGAGCCAAATTAAATGTTTTATACAACTTAAAACTTTTTTAAGGACTGGAAGCTTGTTGGTGGGGGGGCTCCTATATTCACTGCCAAGAAAGGCAAGAAGCTGATGAACCCTTCAAAGATCAATAATGGTGGGAAATAAGATTATCTATAGATAATGATCTACAGGGAAGATTACCTGCCTATGAATAATAGACTTACCCTTATTACTGATATAATAAAAATTAGGTTAAAATTATTTTCACCATTTAAAGTGCTTTTTTTAGGGGGCAACTCTACCATTTAACAGGAAAAGGAGAGAGGCATGGTAAAAATCTCTCAGAGTCCACAGTACTGAATCCAGTTGTGCTCTATTTAAAGAGAGGTCAGGGTTTAGGGGATGTGAAGCTCTAGAAACATAGGGCAGATAGTGACAAAGAAGAAAAGGCACTTGAATGGCTAAAACCGCTGTCAGGAACCAGTGTGCTTAAATCTATACACTTTATTCTGCAGGAAGGGCCTCGACTAGTAGCCTTGCCATTCTTTCTTCCCCTAGGGTTCATTTTCACCTCGTGTGCAGCTGTTAGCCTTTAGCAGTTTAGCCACAGCAAATGAGAAGGGTGGCTCATACGATCAGAGGCACAATACTGAAAGCAGAGAAGAATGACAGGTGAGAAATGAATGTCAAGAGAAAAACAGAAAGGAGAATTATAAACTAGAATCCCTGTAGTTTGGGGCCATTTAGTGTGGGGTAAAATGCCCCACAATTTTCAGGAGCCTACGCGTTCATCCACCTCACCTGTATGAAATGCCTGTTGTATTGGAAGGGGCTCTTGGTATCAAATTGCAGAGTCTATTCTAGGTAGCTTCAGCATAAAAGGATGCAGTATAGATAAGAGGTAGCTCACAGAATATCTAGTAAAGTCAGAGGGAAAGGTGCAATGCTATATGGCCAGGAACAACAACAGCCAGATTGAAAAAGAAAACACAGGTTGTTCTAGTAGAAATTTAACTGTTTCTGCTCCCCAACAAGGCACCTGTGATGAATGCAAGGGTACCCTGAGCCAGGCACGAGGCCCTCCCATGTGCCTCCAGCACTGGTGCCATGAAAGCTGGTCTCTGTATGTGCGGAGGCTGCCTCGCCTTGCTCACATCTTCCTTCCAAGATTCCTGCAGGGAGGTCTGCTGGACAGAGGCTAGGCCGTATCCAACATGCCAGTCGCAAGGGCATTCAAAGTTTAAGTGTGAGAAGAAGAGTGTGTTTGGATGAGAGTAGCCAAAAGATAAGACCAAGGAGGATGCTGTGGACTGACTTCTCAACACCCATTTCCACTCCCTTATGCTAGATGGAGTTGTCTTTGTGAACTACAGAGGTTAGAAAGATTTCCCAGATGCCTTTACAACTAGCATGTTGCATGGCAAGATGAGAACTAAAAAATGACTGGTATACTTTGCAATATGATACACAAGGGTGGCCTTGGCAAGAGCAATTTCACGGCATGGTGAGGATGAATGCCTGGCTAGAACGAGTCCGAGTCAGGAAGAACTGAAGTAGATGAAGCAAGTACAGAAAACTTCTGCCTTAAGAACAGGAGGCCAGGGGAAGGGGTGGGGGGGGCGCTAGGTGCCCGTAGCACAGTGGTTGCAGCACCAGCCACCTGTACCAAGGCTGCCGGGTTCAAGCCTGGCCCTGGCCAACTAAACAACAGTGACAACTGTAACAAAAAATAGCGGGGCCCTCTGGCAGGCGTCTGTAGTCCCAGTTACTTGTGAAGCTGAGGCAAGCGAATTGCTTAAGCCCAAGAGTTTGAGGTGGCATCCCAGCACTCTACTGAGGGCAACAAAGTAAGACTCTGTCTCAAAAAAAAAAAAAAAAAAAGAAAGAAAGAACAGAAGGGGGAGTAGAGTCGAGGCAATTTGTTTTAAAACCATACTTCAGTGCTGATGACAATGATCGAGTAGAGGGAACAAAATTAATGATGAAGGACAGAAAGGGGACAACTGCATGAGCAGAGGACGTGGAAGCCGGAAGGGGAGGTTTGTCCATGGATAATAATAAAAAGAGTTTATCAACTATAATGAACAGATAAATGAGGAGAGGTATGAGGCACTGATAAACCCTACAGGGAACAAGGCAGTTCTTTTATGATTGCTTGTAATTTCTCAGTGAAATAAGAAACAATATCAATTAACAGTGAAGACAGGAAGCCAAATGTGGTGGCTCACGCCTGTAATCCTAGCACTTCTGGAGGCTGAGGTGGGAAAACTGTTTTAGGCCAGGAGTTAGAGACCAGCCTGAGCAATAGAGCAAGACTCCATAGCCACAAAAGTTCTTTTTTTTTTAAATTAGCCGGTGGCCATGCACAGTGGCTCATGCCTGTAGTCCTAATACTCTGGGAGGCCAAGGCAGGTGGATTGCTTGAGCTCAGGAGTTCAAGACCAGGCTGAGCAAGAACAAGACTCCTTCTCTAAAAAATAGCCTGGTGTTGGCTCGGCAGCCACCTGTAGCTCTGTGGTTAGGGCACCAGCCACATACACCAGGGCTGGTGGGTTCAAACCCAGTCAGAGCCTGCTAAACGACAATGACAACGATAACAAAAAACAGCCAGGCGTTGTGGTGGGCAACTGTAGTCCCGGCTACTTGGGAGGCTGAAGCAAAGAGAATCACTTAAGCCCAAAGTTTGAGGTTGCTGTGAGGTGTGTTGCCATGGCGCTGTACCGAGGGTGACATAGTGAGATTCTGTCTCAAAAAAAAAAAAAAAAATAGCTGGGTGTTGTGGTAGGCGCCTGTAGTTCCAGCTACTTGGGAGGCTGA